CTGGTCAGTTTCAGCAGCGGCTGAATCTGGACACCAGTCCCGACTTACATACAAATTCAACTTAAGAACAAACCTACAGTCCCTATCTTGTACGTAACCCGGGGACTGCCTGTATATTTTCAATGGACCTAGAAGTGTTACTGAATGTAACAGAGTCTAAGGTTTGGTATAATGATTGCTTTCAGGCATGAGAAAAAACAAAGGATACCTACAGAATTTAAAAAATAGCTAGCATTTTAGAGAAGTAACTTTATATTAAAGGCATAGGTCTATACATGCATATTTACAAATAAATGTACCTTCAGAAGTCCTCTATGGAAAAAAGTCAAGCCTTTGTATAGCATAGCTATAGGCTGGTTTTTGTTTAGTTCCAAGGAGCGCTGAAAATCTTCATGAGCTGTTGCATAGTCCTGTTGAACAAAAATAGCTTTCAGGTGACACAGAAATTTCTAGATCTAGCTAATATATAGAAATACAAACAAACTGTCTTATGGTTATAGCTATGCATTTTGCTCCAAAGAAGTGATCTGGACTACTAGATTAATACTAATATGCTGATTCAGTCTCATCAGTGCAAATGTAAAATGCCTCTTCTGTATGAGGGATGAGGAAAGCAAATATCCTTAAGACATGTGGCTCCAGCATCATTTAAAGCAGCAGAAATAGGCAAACTAAAAGGAATGCACAGTGCAATTTATTTCCATCTTTTCTTTCATAGCAACTGCTACAAGAAAAAAATGGGATGAAGTGAATGGAGAAAGGGGTTGAAAATAGTCTGAGTGAAATCAATTGAATACATTGATTTCACATTGTCCCCTTGGGATATCAGCTATTCAATGTACATATAATTTTTGAAGCAACAATACCTAGACTAACTTGAAGCCATGTCTTCAAATATGCCAATAATAAAATGCTTGTTTTCATAGCAAGAAGATATGATTTCAGCATTTTGCAAAGATAATAGGTTGTTTTATATTGCTAGTCTGGGGCTCAATCACACACACATACACAGCTATAGTTCTGAATATTTTCCCTCTAACAAATGAGGATCCAACAATGGGCAATTACAATCTTTGTTACCAAAGCAAATTTCTCTGTGCACTCCCTCAGCCCCCAAAAGATACAAAAGTAGTTCTGAGATTATAGATTGGCTGCATTAATTTTATACACTGTTTCTCCACTTTGCTTCTCTCCACTGACTAATACATGATAACAAAATACTTTAATTGCCTTTTTAGAGAATTGTGATCAGAGAAGGTCTTAAACTAGTGGTCCATCACAACTATTCAAAGATCAGTCTTCAGTGGGAAGGGAATGAACCCTTATTCTTTCATGAAAGTAGCATCTAATGGCAAAAAAACTAACCTCAGATATGAAGTAAAGAGTACCTCTGTGCCTGTAAAGTCGCGCCGATGGTTGTAGCTGAATAGCTGTGGTGAGATCAGCCAGCGCCTCACTAATTCGGCCCAGAGGAGACAGTATCTATAAATTCAAAGTAAGCAATTAACCTAGAAAGAGTATGCTGAATTGTCTAGAGTAAGTTGAACAATCTAAATGCTGTTTTATCTGTCAATAGGTTTTTATTCCCATGCCTCTAAAATTGATCTTGTTCTTAAGTATACATGTAGTTTAATGTGTGTATTTACTAGAGCTGGTCAGAAAAATAATTTTAATTGCACAGAAAATCCTGACATTTTGACATTTGTTTTTCTCCTGATTCACGATAGAGTCAAAATCTCAAAATATTTCACAGAACAAATTATTTGTTAATGTCAATATGATATATTACAAAAACTATAACAGAAAAAAATGATTTGAAATGGTCTAGTCAGATTTTAATGCACTTTTAAACTGTTGAAATAAGGATAGTATGTCAATGTCAACTATTTCAAATGAAATAGTGTTTTCCAATAGAAAAAAAACCCATTCTACTTAAATTTGACCAGTTCTAATATCTAACCTCCCGATATAAATTGAGCATTGCAAAACCATCCTACTTAAAACAGCATGAAAACCATGGCTCACAACTTTCTTAAAATATTTGAAAGAGTTGCAACTGAAAAGTCTGAAAAAGAAAAATCTCACTTCTGCTCGCTGTTCAAATACTTCAGGGTGATCTGGTTCCAGACTAATTACTCTGCTCAGCTCAAAAAGGGCAAGCTCAGCATTGTTTATGTCCTTAAAGAGAGAAATCAAACAATATAAGCAACCAGAGCATGCTTTATTATTATTATCATAAGTGATCTTAGAGTTATTCTAATAATTAAGGACAAAGGTCAAAAGAGAATCAATATACAGTAACCAGCCATCAAAGAACTTCAATGTCATTTCAAAGATGTTTTATACTGCAAATATTAACTGAACAAGCTGTTTGACTACTAAAACTCAACTAAACAGGACTCTTTTTATCCATGTGTATCATCTACAATATTTTGCAAACACAGACCCCTCAGTGTTTCATCTTCACTTACTGGGTTGCAAGGCATTATACAAACAGTATTTTGTTTTAATGCTTAAAATCTCCCCACAAAGAATAGTGGTATTATGAGGTGTATTTTGCACGCTTATATAAAGTTATCACACTCTTTTAGAAGCAAAAAAAAATTAGGATGTACTATAAAACAGTTTTGTCCGATTCAGCGTAAACTAATTTTTCTTCTTGCTGAGAAAATCAATTCAGCAGAGCCACTTATAGCCAAAAAACTGTGACTGGAGTTTCTTCCCTTTAGTGATATCACAAGCTCTCCTCCTGACACTACTTCCCAAGAGTGTAGGAGAGCTTTATTCAAAAGAAGAAATTAGCAATTCATCATTAGTTGCATCATCCAGAAAGGTCAATGCTGTGTTTCATGGTTTCAATGAATCAGGTTAACTGAAAGACAACTATCTCCAATAACCTATCTGAACCATGACAAAACTAGGTGCAGAATTGGCAAAGATAATATTATATCTAATGCACGAGGACCCGTCTTTTTAACCTGCTAGTTTCTGGAAAAAATATGCACTTAGCCTTGTCTATATTAGACTTTTCCCTAAGTTTACCACCATTATTACCACTGATTCATCTGCTATAATGGTGGCAAATTATGGTGCAGACAAGATGTTGGGAGCCACTAGTGCTTTAAACGAATGTGATGGACTTTTTGATAAGCAGGGTGAGAAAATATGGTGACATTCCCAGTACTTCCCTTTCATATCTAAAGGTTTAATAGTACTGCCACACCTTCTGCTAGTACCAGAGTACCTTACACATAAAAGGTATTGGCAAAGTCCACATTAGGCTTCATAGCTTCTTTGGCTCTGTCGTATTGGGCTAGAGAAACTATTTGAGAAAAGCATTTGGGTTTTTTTTTGTTGTTTTAGTGGTTGGTTCATTTGTTTGTCTGGGTTTTGGAAGAATATAATTATGGAGTTACCTGGGGCTTCTGCTTGAACCTTTAGCCCCTGTTTAGACTCAAATTAGGAAAAAAAACTTCAAAATATTTCTCACAGAAGCCATATTTTGTGGAATGGATCTTTTTAAATCAGCTGCCAATAACAGAGAACTCTTTGCTAAGACAGATATGGACATGAAAATCACAAAATGAGTACCTATCAACACTGTCCAGCAGACAGTAGTACTGCATAATGGGGTATTCTACCAAGTCATCCAGTTAATTTGGACTGCAGGAATTCAGAATTCTAAAAGCCTATTTCAGCTTCTTGACAGAGGCTGGATACTTTATCATACTACTACATAAAACAAAGAGCTTTTTTAAAAAAATATATTTTCCTTACATTTTTTTAAATCATTAATAGCCAATTCCTCAAACTCTGGATCATTGTGTTAGTCTTTACCTATTGATCTTTATGTTACAAACTGCACTGGAAATGGTTCAGTTAGGTGCAACTGTGTTAAACAAGAAAGGTTCTGTATAGTAGAGACACTTAAAAGTTTAACAAAAAATCAAAATACCAAATTTTTCATGTTAGTGCCACTGAGGACTTTGAATCAAACAAACTAGGATTCATATAAAAATATTTGAACTAAGAATTGAGTATGCATTTATGGATGTTATGGGAACCCAACATGTTATACTCGGGGTGAGGGACCTTTGGCCTGAGGGCTGGATACAATCCCCTCAAGATCTACTAGCCTGGTCCCCTCTAGGCTCTGGTATGCAAGGAGAAAGTGGGGAGTGCCTTTCTGCTTCTCAGTAAGGGGCCATGTCAGTGAGGTGTTTTTTGTGTGGCTCCCAAATGATTTTTCTGTGGGTCAGTGGCCCCTGACCCAAAAAAAGTTCCCCACCCCTGCACTACACAGTATAAATAAAACAATTAAAAATGCAAAATAGAAGCTGCCCAAACAGTAATTCCATCACAAGCATCTCGCTGTATATTTACTAAACAAAGGGGCTGGTTCCCTTCTACCATTTATCAGTCTTCAGGGATCTCCATGAAGTTATGTCCACACAACAGATTTCTGATGACAAGTATGGTCTGCAGTCAAATTACATCTTCAAAGACAATGTTTCAAGAAAACGTGAATAGAATTACAATACATACTGAAAGCCCTTTTGGCTGTATGTATGTTTAATAAATTCTAGTTCATCTATCTTCTAAAATCCCTTTCAGTTAGTAGGCAAATACTTCTGACAAATCAATTTATATTAATACTCACATGTAGTCCTTTTTTGCCATATGCTATCCCTCGTCCATAAATAGCACTAACCAGCTCTGGATCATCCTATTCAGAGTAAAGCATAAGTAAAACCATCTTATAAAAATTAGAGTAAGTGAATGAAAGATGTCTTTCTTTAGCTGCCTACTTTTACTTAATACTGAGTGTTTAACATTAGCAGGCCTTAGTCATGATCTTCAGTTAAAGATACAGAAGAGACTATTGTAATCCACCATCACAAGATTACAATTTGCAACTTATGAGCTGGAAATGTACATGTTTCATCTCTCCCAACAGGGGAATTACTTGGAAAATGAGTAAAATCTCTTCACCAGATCTGAGGAGAGCAAAGAAGAAAAAAAAACCCTTTTCTCATGGGGAAATAATTCTAACCACAGTTTTCAATTAGAGCTATAGCAAAAATACCTAATATTAAAATGCATCATGGGCTGTCATCAGCAAATCTGCATATAGGAAAAAAAGACCACAAGTTACCTATTTCAGAAGTTCCCAAACTCTATGATGTACATGGATGTGACCAGCCACATGCCAAGGCAGGCAATAGAGACAAGCCCATGCGAGGAGTGCCCAAGTGTTTACAGGATAGGGGAAGAAGCACAGCCCACCCCAGTAACAGCCTAGTGCTCTTTTCCTCCTACCCTCCCTGATAGCTGGGGCTTCCTGCATGCTCTCCCTGCTGCTGCCCTGGATACTTGGCCAACTGCAGCCTTCTATTTTTAGACCTTTTAGAGCCCACAGTAGCTCTGGACAGAGAGAGGCAGACAAGGAGATCTGAGCTGATCCATTCCACAGGTTCCTTCAGGGATGGAGCCAACCAGGTCCTGCTACTGCCCTGGATGGGAGCTTCCCCCTCCCCCGATGGCCTAATCTACGCGTAAAATTTAGGTCAACCTAGATAAATTTTGCACCGTGAGCAACATAAGTAGGATGGGCTAATTCCCTGTTGACAAAAAGGCTTCAGTTACACCTCTTTGAGAGGAATATTACCTATAATGGATGGAAAAACCCCTTCTGTTGATGAGGAAACTCTACACTGCAGAAACATAGCTGCAGTGCCAGAGCTGTGTCATTGTAGTAGCTGTTATGTAAACATACCCACAGCATATATGTAAACATATATAGGAGTTAAAAAAGCACATAGCAAGATGTTATTACATCACAGTGCAGAACTTTTTAATGACATTTTATAATGTACCACTGATGTATTATATCTCTATACTGGCTTAAATAGTAGGGTCATAGTTTAATCAGTAAGACCTTCTTTTCCATAAGGATACACATTTATAAATCAAGTTTGACTAAACTAGGATACCCTTTTTAAAAAACCTGTCAGCTTGCCATTAAACAAGCTGAGTGAATTCCATGCCATCCATGGAATATGAATATGAATTCCATACCATCCAACTGGAAAAAATTATACTAGAGAATAAATAAAGTTTTGCTTAACTATTACAGCAACCACATTCTTAACTTAGAACTGAGTATTAACTTGGTTTATAACACAGATTTGGTTTATAATACAATAATAGAGTCTGGTGTATAATACAGATGTAAGAGACTAGTCGACTATCCGATAAGTAAAAGCTTATCGGACAGTCGACTAGTAGCTTCTCCCCCCACTTTGCTGCTGGGGGGGGGGGGGGGGGAGGAGTGGGAGCCAGTACTCTGGGGAGCTAGCTTAAAAAGTCCATTCCCCCCAGCATCATTCTAACAGGGGCCAGGGAAGGTAAAGGCCCAGCGGAAAGGCCTAAGCGGGGACTGAAGCAGTGTCCGCTTGTACCACTTCTGCCGCAATTTTGCTTTTGAAATGTACAAGCACACCGGTGGGGCACTTGCACATTTCAAAGGCTGAGGCGCCACAGGAATGTGGGCCCAGAGGTGACTCCTCCGCTGACCCTGTGTGCCCTGCAGCACCTCAGCCTTTGAAAGGTACAAAAGCCCTAATGGGGCTCTTGTACATTTCAAAAGGAAGCCCCACACTCCCTGCAAGGCTTCCACTTTTGAACTGTAGCAAGAGCCTGGCAGACTATTCTATTAGTTAATTAATCTGAATTTAACACCTCTAGTTTATAACCCATATGGAATTTCTATAATGTTATTATCCCATATGAGGTTATCCTGTCAGTAAGTTACTGGCAATGTGCTAAACTGTAACCAAGAATGCAGTGGAAAAAAAAGTCTAAAATACACAAAGTACTACTAACCAAGTCACCTTTTAGTAAACTGAACTGTGCAAAAAAGTATTTTTTGTGCTTTTGCAGGTATTTCTTCTAACAGTCAAATAAGTTGGCCTATATTTTATTAGTTTATTAGGAGACTGGGGTCATAAGACTTTTTTAAAAACCACATTTATCAACTGTATTCATTTTCACATGTAATAGCGGACTCTCGCCAGTTTAAATTCTGATATTTATTAAGAGTTAAGTGTTTTATCTGGTTTGTCAGCCTCAAATGCTATAATGGTTCTAAGGTATACAAATCATTATGAAGTCCTTTTATACAAATCAATTTAATCAGTGGCTGATTTTAAGATTAATCATCTTGAAGTTTACAATTACAGAATTAGAACAGTTACCTGTAGCATTGCTGAAAAATGTCTTACAGCTTCATCATATAGGCCACTGCCAATCAACACATAGGCAATTGCTGGCAAAGCAGGATTCCAAACATTAAAATAAAAACATAGATAACATGTCAGTTTTTCAAATATTTAAAATGTGGTCATATTTAACAAAATGTAAACTAAGTATCCTACTGTAAAGCACAAGGGAATCCAGATCCCAAATATAGCCACTAGATGCTATCATGCTTACAGGCAGAGTTTGTAGCACTGCCTATTAAAATTGTCTGACACTTTTTGTTATATGGCTTCGCTTTCAGTTCTTTATAAAGCTTTGCTATTATCTATCTGTTTCTGTTGGGGCTGAAGTTTTCCATGCCAGGTGTCTGCCTCAGGCAGAGTTAGTCATTTCCAAGAATGAGGCTAGGCAAAACACATTTTTCCTATGTTAAAAGTTCTGGAAAACTCTTTGAGCAGGACTAGCATCCCTATGCTTTGGAACAGGAGACTTGAAACTTGGCAAGCAGACTTTTTTTTAAAGTCAGGGATATGCCTTTTGCCTTCCCTGTGAAAATCCACAGGAATATATCCAAGTTGTAAGCTTCTGAAAAATTGCAGTTTGCAGATGCCAAATAGCAACTGCAGATTTTAGTAGTTAAATTTCCAAAGACTGTCTTCGCTAAGATTGCTCCAGCCTCTTACCACCTGCTAATGCTGACCAGACTGTGCATGGGCCATCCACACAGAGCAACTGAACATGTTCCCTTCAGGCTGAGAATACCAGAGCAAAGATGGACTTTCCTACCAGTAGTTGCTACATGACAGGTACTGGAACTGAAAGCCAAGGCCCTATGCCTCCAGTGCTCTTAATGACTTCTTCTCCCAAACCCTTGCTGGCACCCAAGAAGTTGTAGATTAAAATGCAAAACAAGCAAGGGGGGGGGGGAGCAAAGGAATGAATTGATACAAGGAATCTGATGCAAGATTGGGGGCAGAGAAGAGAAACTAGGTCTGGCTGAGCAAGGACACCTGGAATGTAAGAGGATAAGGAGGCTGGTACTGACTGGGCAAGGAAGCTTGGTGCCAGTGAGAGAAACATAGATCAGATGAGGAGCCAGGAGAAATTGGGACTGGCTGCACAAAGACTAGGACTAGGATCTCATATCAGGGAAATGGAGATGAGCTGACTATGAAGTGGAGTGAGTGGGAGAAATGGAACTGGTTAGGGAAGGAATACTCAACAGGTAGAATGGGGGACAAATCAGGATTGCCAGATGCTCTTGAAGAGACTGCGAAATTGTTTTTAATATTATTTTCTCAAGAGTCTGGACCTTGACGATATCCTGACCAAGAAATGTGGACCATGACAAAAAAAAATAGTTGATTACCCCAGATTAAGGAAAGAGTCTGGGTCAAGGAGCCAGAAGACTAGAATTGATGTAAACTTAATTGTCATTTCCTAACTTAAAGAGTGATTGACTTTGAAACCTTAACTTTTCAGCAAGCGAGTGAGTAAAATAAATAATAGGATGTTATTGTGGTTAAAATGCACAGTAAAGGGAGTCAGTAAATGTGAGTTCTATTCTTCCTCTAGCACAGGTTTACTATAAATAATAGCAAAGTCGTTTAGGGGTTATTTTTCAAAGGTTCTGAGGGCTTGCAGCTCCACAAAGGGAGATGTGAATGCTTAGAACATTTGAAAATTAGGCAGATAGCCTTCCTATTTCAGTTTCCCTATCTAAAATTTTCTCCATATCATAAAAGATTATGAGGCTAAATGTATTAGTGATCATAGAACAGTTTGAAATCCTCAAATGGTATATATTATTTGAACTTTTGCTTATTATTAAATGCTGATATGGCCACTGCAGAATATAGAAACACACAGTGCCAAGAACTTTGGAGCCTAGAAGACACATAAGATAGGTCTTTGGCACTGGGAGAGACAGATGATCATTGTTTAGAATGGGGTTGGCAACGTCTGGCACAGGTGCCAGAAGTAGCATGTAAGAGGATTTTCAGTGGAACATGGGGATGGGGGAGTGGAGAAACCCCAGAGCCTCCCTGTGCGATTGGGGAAAAAGCTGGAGCCACAAACAGCATGCATGCTCGCCCTGTCCCTCCCCCAGTTAGAGGAACATAGCAGCACACCGGCACACCGCCTGCAGGCTTTTCCCGCTGCTCCATTGGCCAGAATCTGGCCAATGGAGCAGCGAGAAGCCATGCCTGGGACAGAAAGCCTGAGAGCAGCATGGGAGGCAAAACAGACCCAGTCGCCATCTTGCCCGTGAAGGACCCACTGCTACCATTGCCATGCCCCCCTGCTCTACCCCTGCCTCGCACCGCCCGCAGGTGCAATGCACTCAGACCCACCAGAGAGCCCCATGAGGCCTCTGGAGTCTGTCATCCAGGTGCCAGCAGGCTGGATCCTGGCCAGCCTGCCCAGACCCATCAGCTGGACTCCCTGCACTCCTGGCGAGGCACAGCCTCCATTCCACACTCGACCCATGGGCCACTAACTTATTCTGTGTGTAGAGCAAAGCTGCCATGTGGAAGTGACGGTTACAAAAATAAACCTTGTTACAGGCACTGGGAGAGGAGGGGAAAAAAAAAAAAAAAAAAAAAGAGCAAATGCCATGCAGATCCTGCACCCACGCCCCTCCCCCATACTGAAACCCTACACCCACATCCTGCTCCCACTCCCTTGGCCAGACACCCACTCGCACCCTTCCCCTCAGCCAGACACTAGGGATGTTAAATATCAGTTAATTGAATAGCTGAGTAACCTCACAAATTCTTATCAGTTAGTCGACTATTCTATAGTTCCCGGGGGTGAGAACAGCAGCCAGTGCACTCTGGTCCCACTCTGGAGAAGGCCCCTGACACTCGTCACTGCTGCCTCTGTAACAGAGGCAGCAGCACGGGGTGCAACAAGGAGAGCCAGTTTAAAAACCAGCTTCCTTCACAGGACCCGGCACAAGCTGAAACAGTCTCAGACTTCTGCTCATCGGTTAATCGACTACACTATTACATCCCTACCCGACACCCTACTCTCAGCCTGCTCCTGCACCCCACCTCCCACCCAGATCATGCAACCAAATGCGGGGAAGCCCATGTGTGCCACTCCTCCCCTCCCCACAGGAGCAGCCGGAGCGGAGCCCAGGGCAGGAGACCAAGATAGGGCATTCAGTAGAGAGAGGCCTCTACCCCTCCCAGGAGAGCGGCGCAGCCCAGAGCAGGAGGGTTAAATCTTGGCACGCCACTTCGGAAAGGTTGCAGACCCCTGGGTTAGAATTAGGGGATGTAAAAGGTTAACTGATGGGGGCTGGCGCAGCTCCCTGCTTGCTGCAGGCAGGGGGCTGCTCCTGCCCCACAGGCCCTGCCATGGACAAGGGCTGCTCAAGGATGGCACTGCTGGAGGAGCCCCTGTCTATGGTAGGCACTGGTGCCCCACAGGTAGCAGGCTGTTACAGCTCAGCTGGAGCAGTCCCCCCCCCATGTACCCCACCTTTAATCGGTTATAACCGGTTAAACAATATTTTTATTGGTTGACCAATTAAAAGGGATTTTACATCCTTAGGTAGAATACAGAGGATTTTTGTTGTGGCGTTCTCTAATCCAATCTTCTGCACCTATATAATGTTGAAGCATTAGGCCAATGTTATTTTATTTTTATTTTTTTTTTAAAGTAATGCATACAGGAGGCCCCTGCTATACAGCCCCCATAAATCGACCTTTTCCATAAATGCAGAAGGAGCCAAAATCCCCCGACTTACATCCTCGGCCCCGCATTTACGATGGCATACGACACCTGTCATAAATGCGGGCTCGAGTTACAATGCCCTTGACTTGCGATGCTATCCCCAGAGCCGATCGTGTCGCAAGTCAGGGGCAGCCTGTACACTCCACACCTTGTTGTCTGATATAAAGAGTAGTCCACAGTTTTTCAGCTTCAAATGCTTAACAAAACACAACCAAAAAACACCACGTACTTCACAAGGGGCTACCATGCTTCTTCACCCGGCAGTGGTATTTATGTTTTTGTAGCAAATTGCAGAACTTCAGGAAATGGTTTATATAACTTACCTTTTACCGTTATATTGGAGAAAAAGTCTCAAACTTTGGCAGTATTTATAAGTATGTATCAAGGATGAAAATTTTATGATAAAAAGCCTTTGTAGGTTGAGCCTCTCTAGTCTGGCATGTTCTGGTCCAGAAGCATTCGTGGTCTGACATGAGTTTAGTTAGCCGGATGTCCACTTACTACGGATGTAGCTAAGTTTCCTGTAGTAGCATCAAGTTTGTTTACAGCCACAAGTCCTGCTCTCAGTGTTTTGTGCTGTTAGTTAGCCCTAATTTACTCCTAAACATCTTGTCCGAGCCCTGTAAGCAGTGGAAGTGTTGATAATCTGCTAGACAATTTTGACCTCCCGTGGTTTGGCAAATTTTCTGGTTCAGCACTGGTAAGTGTACTAGAGAGGTTCAACCTGTAGTAGGTCCTCTAAGTGGGCCTGGCAGGACATTATTCAATAAAGATTAAGAGTCAAAGTCTGCTCTTGGATATACAAATGCAACTTCTGTTGAAGATTAATGAGAACGGCAAGTTCCCCACAAATTGCAGAAATTGGCTGTAATAGCCTAAGATAGAGGTTTGTTTGGTCAGAACATCTTCCAACTGCAGCAATTAATATAGCTGAAGTTACCAGAAACATTTTTTTGTTTACCTAGACAACTTTATTGATAAGAGGGATTATCAAGGCTTTATTTTTCAAGCCTCAAAGAGTTATCAGTAGAAACTCAACATGTTAAATTTAGGATGTTCTTTGTGAGGAGGTTTGGCAGAGATAGGCTTTCAATAAATAATTCGGTTTTGGTGACAGCCCAGCTAAGTTTGTCAAAGGAGGAGTTAGAAAATGACAGTAGGAATTCAGTCTATTTCTCATTTTCTAAATTCTTTAGTATGCAAGATTAAAGCAATAATGTTGTTACGGTTATCTACATTCATTACAAAACTCCTTTTTCTAACATGATCATCTATCACCAATTAGAGAAATACTTAGAGAATATGTAGTACATTTTCAGTGCACTTAGTATCTGTGAAAGGTTCTAAATATATACGCCTGGGGAACAATGACCCATTTATCCACAGAACAGGTAAAGATTCAGTACACGTTTTCTCATGCCAATATTTCCCAATCCTGACTTGGAGGAGCCTATTCAATCATTGGCAGGACTTGTTAGCCAGCTCTACTGAGATAATCAACAGCAGTTGCAATTTTTTTTTGTCTTTCCAAAAGAAAGATTCTACATGACACCACATTCTGGTGACATTGTTACAAACTACTGCTAAGGAAAAGGAAAGGGGGAAAAACCCACATACACAGATGGACAGTGCTGTCATTGTGCAGGACATTATTTTGTTTTGGGCGCTGATATAGGAGAGCACAGCCCAACTTGCACCATTAATACCATGTTTGCACTGGGTAGAGTGAAGTCTTTGTCTATAATTTGTAGGGATATGCCTTTGTATATTTACAAAAAACTTCACTGTATGTATACCACATGAAAATCAGTCAGGAGATGAGTATTGCTGCAGTATAAGGAGTAAAAGGGACTCCAGGGAAGCTAGAGAAACTCCTTGCCTTTTCTTCATTTGTCTTTGGTTCTTTACCAAATTCTTAAATCTACTTCATTTGTCATCAGTTGTACAGTATCACAATAATTTCCAATGTAAACTATTGTCACATAAGGGCAGACTGATAATTTGAATACATGAGTTTTGTAGAAAAGGGAAGGACTGGGAAAAGAAGCAAAATAGTGAAAAGATACTGCCTAGAATATTGTAGGCAATATGAGGAAGTAATACTTTGTGGAGTACCCGCACAGTTCACATCTCTTCCCCAGAAGTTTATTAGAGCAGGAGAAGCACAAATAGAAGGACCAAGGCTCCGAAAAATAACAGACATCTAGGAAATTCCTAAGAAGATGCTCGAAAAAAGATGTACCTGAAAGAGGAGCAGGGCAGATAGCATGACAGCCCATGGACCCAAACATGGAAATGGGGTTCCTTTGACGTTGCTACCTGGGCCCCCATGTGGCAAATGCTGAACCACTGGAAGGGCTGAAGATTTACTGCTAGACTAGGGGAGTCTCCAACTCTCTCAAAATTCTCCCTCTACCAGACAGACCAAGCTGAAGTCAGAGAGAGAAAATGGTAAATAATTCAAAATAAATAAATAAAACTCAGCAGCACAGGGTTCTCTAAGGCCTGTTTAGAGACATCTGCTTCTCAACACAGAAGCAGAAAACTGGCGAGCAACATCACAACAGTTCACCAGGTGCACTTCTAATAAGTGCCAAAAGGTTGACTACACCGAAAAAGAAATCCAAAGAAAAAACTCCTCCTAGTCACCTTATCAGACTTGGAAAAGGTAGGGAAAAAACAAACAAACAAACAAAAAACCCAGCAGTTCCAAGCTCAAAAGAGTAGCAAGAACACCTGAGAAAAAGCTTCTCTCAAACTCCCAGAAAATCCTCATTTATCAGGAATGACAAGAGAGAGAGAGTGGGGAAAGTTCATGAGTGTTTAACAAGATTTAGAAAAATATTTTCTTTACATCTGTGTGAACAAATGAATGGTGAAATGTCCCACTATGCAGAATAGAATATAGTACTTTGAGAGGGGGAGGTACGGTAATTAAAAACAAAAAGCTGAAATTTTATTGCACAAGGAGTGAAAAGTGATCCTAAAGTATGTCAGCATTACAAAGTATAATTTTACAGGATCAATACATTGTGCCTGTAAATGACATGTAGAACCACCCCTAGAAACCTTATATGATTATCTTACCCAAATCTTCATTTTTGTTCTCATTATCAGTGGCAAATGGAAATCGCTTTTGTTCTGCAAGTGACTTTGCTTGGCTCTGTAAAACATTATGGTTTTAGCATTTAGCTGACAATAGCAAAAAAAATCCTAAAATAAATAAATAAATAAATAAATCAGAATTTAACACTGGACTATTGCTTAAATTCTTTAAAAAAAAATCTGACAAAGCAAAAATAAGTTTACTATTAAAGCAAAATGTACCATAAAACAAACCTGATCAAAGGCACTAAAATTATTCCTAACCTTTTGTGAAAGGATAATCTGCTTTTCAAATGTCACTGCTATCCTCTGATTCATCTGGCATGTTAAGTTAGGCTGTAGTGTGTATATATATACACACACACACACACACACACACACACACACGCCTTGGACAACCAAATAACATAACACAATGCCCTTACTATAGTATACTATACATCACATTTTAACTTGAATTATGGAAATATCCCTAAGCAATGGATTACATAGTGGAAGGGAAGTTTTACCCTTTTGCCAGTGAGAAGACAGACTAAAGAAATATAAAACAAGTATGTAAAAAAATAGTTCAAAAAAACGACAGAAGTTTCATTTTTATTTATCTGGGATTGTTAATCTCTTCACTACTAGCGCCTTCACAATTAAAACACATACACTGAAGGTAGGAACCACAAAAGCAGAATTGCCTTGAAAAATCTTTTTCCAGATATATTTGCAGAATGTGGAAATATAAAAATGAAGCATACATGGAGATGTCTAAACAAATAGCTTTGATTCGTATAGTGAAGTCCCACTGATTGCAAAGGGAGTCTAAGGCAAGACTCAAGGACAATTTAAAGCCACAAACATACCTCTTACGTATCAAGTTTAAATGAAGGATGCAGTGATTGGACTAGTAATACTTATTAAATTAATTCAAATACATTTTAAATAGTTTAGTTCCTTTTTTGTCAACACTGCAGAGAAGAAAGAGGACTCCAAGTGATCTACAGATCTCGTACCAGACCTTCCCTGGAGTAGACTGGCATACCTGAGCGTCAACAGGCTAAGCCAATTTACATCAGCTATGGATCTGATCCCAATTTTCCCTCCCAAATATAGATCATAGAAGTTATTAAACTTACATTAATGAAGCTATCATCTCATTATTTAGGAGTTGTACACATTATATCCATCACTCATCATTCAGAGCAACATATGTATAGCCAACAGTAGGGATGTGAAAAATGTATTTATTTAGGTGAACGTGTAGGCACTGAAAAATTTCAGCAGTTATATATTTACATGCCCGGGAGGGGGGGGGCAGGGCCTCCCATGGAACTGCCTGTCCTGACACCCCCCCTCGCCCTCCCGCACTGCAGAGCTGTCCCGCTCCCCCGACTTTTAAGCTGGCTCCCCCACACCTTGCATTGTTGCCTCTGATACAAGGCTACAAGGGAGGCTGTGTGTAACTATGAAGGTTAACTGATGAACCCAGAGTCATTGATTAACTATATACACATTGGGGCTATGTCTAGACTACATGGCTCTGTCGACAGAGCCACGTAAAATAGTTTATTCAGCATAGTCAAAGAAGCAGGGAGTTCAATAATCCCTGCTTCATTAAAATAAAAATGGCCGCCATGCTGTGCCAACGATCAGCTGATCCGGCACAGCGCGTCAGTCTAGACGTGGCGCGGTCGACAAGGGAAGCCTTTGTCGACCGCTCTTGTAAACCTCATTTCACAAGGCATACCGGAGCGGTCGACAAAGGCCTCCCTTGTCGACCGTGCCGTGTCTAGACTGCCGCGCTGTGCCGGATCAGCAGATCGTCGGCACAGCGCAGCGGCGGCACAGCGCAGCGGCCATTTTTATTTTAATGAAGCAGGGATTATTTAAATCCCCGCTTCTTTGACTATGCCGAATAAACTATCTTACATGGCTCCGTCAACAGAGTAGTCTAGACATAGCCTCAGAGTAGTCTAGACATAGCCTCAGATCCCTAGCCAACAGGTCGCCCCTGGTCATCTTGAAAACGAATGGTAAAATGACAGAACTCTGCTGACTGAGCTGGTGAAACATTGAGTCAGAGTTGGCTCTCACTACAGAAATATCAGAATTCTTTATTTTGAGATGCATTATGTCTACAGTCATGTTATAACTAGTTACATTTACAAAAAGAACTAGACAAGTCCTACCAGACATAGGGTTGCCAGATGGTTTAACCAAAAATACCGAACACACACCCCCACCCCAAAAAAAAACCACCATTGGGGAAAAAAATTCTGTTGGGGGGGAAAAAAAAAAAAAAAAGAGGACCCGCAACTCCCCTGCAGAACCCAGTAAGCACCCAATATTTCAGCATTTTAAGTATCTGGTATTTTCTGAAATTTTTTACCGGACAGGAGGCGAAAATACTGGACAGCTGGCAACCCTAACCAGACATAAGAGATGTATCCCTAAAATTACCAACTCTACTTGATAATTTTAAACATCTATTATAAAAGTCTTTGTCACTTTTCCCACAAACCTGTATGAACCCAGGAATACCAACTTTTACCAGCATCAAGATATGCTCACATTCTTCTAGTTGCCAGAACTTCATGGATAAATCTGCCATGTTTTTCCACAACATAAGTATACAATGCAGCAAACAATACACAAGACAATTCAAGGCATTAAGGTGGATTATAGAAGCACAATTGTAACCAACTGTAACTTGGTTGTAGTTGAACAGCCAAGCCAAGCAAATTTGTTGATCAGCAAAGAGGAAGAAAGGAAAGGCTTTGGGAAGAAAGGAAATTGTAAATCTTATTTGAATTAAGATTGGAACAAAGGGTTAATTGTCGCAATTTTTTTTTAAGATTAAGTCAGTAATTGGCAAGGACATCATCTGCTTAAGGGTATAAAAAGAGTTATGAATCGGAGGTTTCTTTACTTGATCAAGCTGGAGCACACTTCAATGAGATGGTTTTCTTTAGGTCAGCTCTATTTTGTAAGTGTACTGATTGCATGCTTATGAATACTTTGTTACTGTGTTGGGTGTAATTAACCTTATTTTTAAAGCTGTTAGGCATGTTCAGAGAAATAATATAAAATACCATTTGTCTTTGGACTTATTTTTGGTAGAATTAGTGTCTTGTGGTCTTCCAAAATAATAATGTTTAATGTTTATAATTCCAACATATAGTAAATCAATGCACACACTCCTTTCTCCTCACATCTACAACCAATTAATTTTATTTTTGTACATAATAAAATAGTAAACAGCATACCAGAATTTTTTCAGTATTGAGAGAAAGCAGAGATTCACACGATGAAGATCCTCTTAGTTCACAGTCAGATTCATGGAAGTGCAAAAGTGGTGAGTCTGAAAAAATAAACATTTTTATTATCTCTGGATAGTCTCTTGAACTATTATACCTTATTAGGGTATAAATGTACCAGATCATCCAAATGCTGTTTCCTCATGCCAACCCCACCTTTTAAAAATTCCTCTATAGGATAAACCCATAGAGTATGACTGTTCATAAGCTCCATACATCACTTTTGTTCTAGGGTTGATGGCAAGAAGTGCAGTAGCGGACACAAACCTTGGTATACAGTTAGCTTCGCTACTATTTCAGACTATTCAGCTGACCAAAATGTGTGTGCAGCAATAGCAACACAGACAAGCCTATTTCAGTCTATGCAGCTGACCAAAATGTGTGTGCAGCAATAGCAACACAGACAAGCTAGATGGAGAGAAAACGAGGAGAAGATACGGAAGAGGAAAAACAATATAAGGGGAGGAAGAAGTGTGAAAGTGATTGGGAAAAGCAGCGCATGTCAGTTTGAGACTATCTGGTGTCTCATTCTTTCAGCAAACAAGAATATGAACACAGACAGCATGTTCAGACCCTAGGGAGAACAAGTGGATTTAGTCCACATTCAGCTTTCAGACGGGGGAAGGCTGGCTGGTAAGCAGAGGGTGGGGTAAAGATCTGGAAAGGGATAGATGAGAAAGATTAAGGTAACTAGTAGAAAGAATGGTAAAAATAAGGGATCCACACAAATACATGGAAAAAATAACAGTTAAGTTGTTACAGTGAAAAGCACTATAACATGAATAGAAAGTCAAAAATAGGATTCACACAGAGACAGTATGTTAAATGGGGTGGGAAAGCTGGGAGAGTGAAGAGAAGAAAAATTATATTGTTTAATTGTAGACAAAATAAATTTTGAGGCACAACGGAGTTAACACCTACAGTTAAGTGGATGGACGGATAAAAGAAACTCTGAAATAAAAATCTTCTTCATCAGTTTGAAATATTGGGCAAGAAGAAAAATTAACCCTTTTATCATCTACTGCAAATAGCAATGTTTTAAAATACATTCATCAGTTGAAACATAAAAACAACTCTGTCTCAATTTTGTTCAACTGTTGCTCTCCCACTCTATTTGGGATTTTAAAATTAGATTAATCAAATAAATCGATAGACTTTGAATCGACTATTCTATTAGTTGATAAGGGTGATCAGCCTTTGAAAGGTAACAACAGCCTGGTGGGTTCTTGCTACATTTCAAAGGAGAAAGTGCCAGGTGGCATTCTGCCTTTGAAATGTACAAGAGCCCCAACAAGGGCTCTTGTACATTTCAAAGACTGAAATGTGGCATGGAGCCTGGGACCAGCAGGAGACTGAGTCCCCTGCTGGCCCCAGACTACATGCGACACTTCTGCTTTGAAATGTACAAGAGCCCCAGTGGGGACTCTGGTACAATTCAAAAGTGGACCACCACCACTGCACTCCTGCTCCCTCCCATGGAGCAGGAGGGAACTGGCTTTTAAGCTGCCTCCCCCAGCACACTCTTCCCTTCTCCCCCTTGCTGCCTCTCTCTGGTAGAGGCAGCGGGGGGCAGGGGGGAGGAGCAACTAGTCAATTAGTTGCTTATATCCCTACACTCTACTATTGCAGGAAATACCTTACTTATGCATCCTGATTATAAAACAAACAAAAATGGTATAGCCAGGTAATTATCTGCTTGTTGCACAGATACCAAATTAAAAAAAGAAAGACAGATCAAAGAACAAAAAACAACATCATCTATTTATAAAATACAAATTGGAACAGCATCTAAAAATTAGTCAGTGAAAAAAAAATGTGGTTCTATATGAACCATGAGTGAAACTTGGATGAGTCTTGTAAGAGAAGGATACTATTTGAAGAGCCCAAGATGCACAGATTTAAAGACCACAAGGGACTATGATGATGATCACCCAGTGTGACTAAGCTTAAGACATGCAACAAAATAGGGATTCTCAAACTTCGTTACACAGAGACTCCCTTTTGAGAACAAAAATTACTACAATATTCTAGGAGGGGGGACTGAAGCCTAGACGTACCCAAGCCCTACTGTTCTAGATGGAGGGACTGTGACGGCGCGTTGGGGTCCCCCGTCTCCTGCACCCCGAAATGGCACAAACAGACTGCACCAGCCAGTAGAATTGAGGAAGTTTATTGCCTCTCCAGGATACAGCACAGCACAGATGTAGTCTGGTCACAGAGCTGGGCTAGGGTGCCTCAGGCCCCCTTGAGTTGGGGGGAGACTGGGCCCCTAAACTCCAGCTCCTCTCCCTAGGCTGTCTCATCCATCCTCACAGACAGCCACCAACCAACTAACCCACTTCCAGCCCTGCCCCCCAGCCAGGACAGCATTCCACCTTCCTTTGTTCCTCTCCATGGGGGGTGTCTGGCCCCTGGCTCAACAAGTTTGGCATTACCTCTGCCTAGCGAGGTTTTCCCTGCTGGGTCTTGCTCCAGACAGCAGGGGTCACCACAGCCCAGCAAGTACCCCCACTACGTCACAGGGACCAAAGCCCAAACCCCATCATCTCTTGTGGTTTCCACTTTGGGCCCTGTGCAATGGGGCTCAGACTTTGGCTTTGGCCTAGGACCCATCAAGTGTAAGCTATCCTGGGTGACCCCCATTAAAACAGGGTTGCAAACCCCTTTGGGTTCTCAACTGACACTTTGAGACTCCCTGCTATAAAGTTTCATCTGGTAATCCTTGCAACATGTACTGCATAAAGAATAAAGGTGCAAGGGTGGGGTATTGTGCAATTACATCTTAAGTATTTACTATATCAGTAACTACTAATGATTAAGTTATTTGAGTAAGGATATAAGAAAAAAAACAAAAGAAAAATTAGAGTGGACTATCTGCTACAAATCACAGGGTAGAGAGGACTTTTATAAAAAAAAACCTGGACCAATTTATAAGATTCTCAGAACTCTAAGACTACTGTAATCATGTAGGGATTTCAGTCCCCATACAGCTATTGGCTAATAAATACAGTCAAACTTGCATCAAATTGTTTCCTAGTTTAGGCAGAAGACAACTTTATGGATCACAAAGTTAGGGATGTAAGCGACTAGTCAACTCCCGATAACCATAGGCTACTAGTCGCTTCTCCCCCTCGCTGCCTCCGAATCAGAGACAGCAAGGTGGGAGCAGGAACCAGTGCTAAGGGAGAGCTGGCTTAAAAGCACCGTCTCCACAGGGGCAAGGACAGGGGAGGCAGAGGTGCAGCAGGGAAATGGCATGAATGGGGACTGAAGTAGTCCCCACTCTCAATGGGTCCTGACTGCTGTGCCTCTGCCTTTGACACGTAGCAAGAGCTCAAAGGTAGCAAAAGCCTCGAAGGTTTCTTGCTACATTTCAAAAAGCAGAGCACAGTGGGGAGCTCAGGGCAAGTGGGGACTCAAGCAGTCCCCATTCATGCAGGGTCCCAACTACTGTGCCTCTGCCTTTGAAATGTAACAAGAGCCCTGTGGGGCTTTCTACATTTCACAAGCTAAAGTGCAGCAATCAGGACCCAGCACAAGTGGAGTCTGTGGCTGTGTCCAGACTCAGGGTTTTTTCCAAAAAAAGTAGCCTTTTTTCAAAAAAACTTCACCTGCGTCTAGACTACAGCCACGTTCTTTCGAAATTAAATCGAAAGAACGCGGCTTTTCTTTCGACGGCGGTAAATCTCATTTCACAAGGAAGAACTCCTTTTTTCAAAAGTGCTCTTTCGAAAAAAGGCGTTCTTGAATGCCAACAGGGCTTTTTAGAAACAGAGCATCCAGACTCGCTGCTTTCTTTCGAAAAAGCGGCTTGCTTTTTCGAAAGTTCTGCTTGCAGTCTAGACGCTCTTTCAAAAGAGGCTTTTTCGAAAGTATCTTTCGAAAAAGCCTCTTTCGAAAGAGGCTTGCAGTCTAGACATAGCCTGTGTGAGTACAGTTAAAAGGCACTGCTCTTAGTACAGTTAAAAGGCAGAGGCACAACCGGGATAGTGAGTGCCCTCCCTACTCCCCAATCAACTAATCAAGCAGACAATAGAAATGCCATCAACTACTCAATTAACTGACTAATCAAAATTTAACATCCCTACTCAAAGTAGAGAATTCAACCAGAGAATAAGCCATCCTAGACTGACAATTATAGACAGGAACTGACAGACCATGACAGCAATATGGAAGTTTGAGACAACCAGATTCTCTTAGCCAAAAGGACAGTTTTTCTAACCACTGGTTTGTTTAACCACAACTCAAAGATTTGTGAACAGCTCAGAATGAATTAGCGTGCTATTGGTTTTCATAATATCAGTGTTCTATAATTAAATCAATAAGGAGTTGCTGTATAATTAATACAGCCATAAGAAAAAAAACTTTCAACTTCATGTTAGTGTACATACATTATTAGTTTAACTAGTCACGAACTGCCATTTTCTTGTTTTAATTTGCATAGCATCTTTCATACATGCTGTATCCCAGCCAGTACATCAAAATTTTAAATCTTCCAAACATCTCTCCATTGGAGAATTCTTCTCCATCAGAGAAATTTAGCTAGTCATACAAGAACCTATTTAATTATAAAGAGAGAAAACAGTAGGTTATTGGAATGGATAAGCTATGTTATATTTTGATTATGCAAACTGTAAACATACAGAAGTATCAGACCAGCCTAGAGGCTATGTGGAACAAACAAACAGCATTAAGAATTTTGTGTTTTATACTAGTTGAAGCAGGGACCCGTTTTGTGTTCTGTGTTTTTACAGCACCTAGCACACTGGGAATGACTAAGGCTCTTGGGTGGTATTACAAACAACTAATCATTTCCATTTGCTATAAGATGCATGCTTTACATAAACAATTTAAAAGGGCAAAATTTTAAAAAAAACAACAAATAGTCTGGCAGCACCTCAGAGACTAACAAAAAAATGTAGATGGTATCATGAGTTTTCGTGGGCACAACTCACTTCTTCAGATGAATGGAGTTTAAGGGGTCGAAGTTTTCAAATAAACAGCACAAAGAAGAGGTGGGGGGGAAGGAAAAAGAAGGAAAAAAAGGGGGGGAAGAAATTGTCAGTTAATTTCAAAGGGCAGCAGTTTTAAAAGCAGACACATATATAATTCTCTCTCTCTCACACACACACACACACACACACACACACACACACACACACACACACACACACAAATCAAGTCTTTGCAAAACTTATTTTAAGTTTCCTTAAACAGTGTTAGCAAAATATACCAGTACACACTTCACAAAATATAAAAACTGGAAACTATGGCATTAACAAGCTAGAGTAACATAAATACATCTGGCAGTTTATTACATTGGATTTTGTTTTTTCTATTTTTCATATTTATATATTCATTTGATTTTGTTCAATGTGTTGTTTATAAGTGATGTACAGTAAGCAAATACAGAACTTTACTCAGATGAGAAGCCATCAGTGGGACTAAACTTATGCACAACCTTAAACCTTTGTAAGTTTAGGGTCTAAATTAACCAAACAAAACCAAACAATTATTTATGTTACCAGCAAGACAACTTAAAAAAAAAAAAAAAAAAAAAAAAAAAAAACACCTCGATCCAGTTCAATGTACTCACAAATAAGGAATTGGAAAGTTTCCATACCACCAAATACATAATTTAGGCTTGTACAGAGCTCTGTGTTTGCACTTTGCATATCTGCCAGCTCTCGTTTAATTCATTTTGGATTAGAACCAACAACATCAGTCAAGAAAACTCATGCTTTCTTTTGGCCTTTTAAACTGAAATCTTTTTGTTCTTTTTTTAGTTTATTGCAACAGCTAAAGTCATGATTCTGTACCGCCACATTATTTTTCGTGTACTGCACAACTCTAAAGTGTTGGGAAGACGTTTATAGAAAAGTTGCTGTAACAAAGTTACATTGATTAGCTGAACCTCAGTTATCCAAGAACCAGAGCTGTATCACCAGTATTTCTTAAAATCAAAGGGCAGAGTCTACAAACTCCTTCATGTCCATAGACTCATGCCTAAGCTAAGCCTCAGGAGGTTTGCCCATGCAAAGCAGTGAGAAGGACCTGAGCCAAAGTTCTCTCTGGTATGTGAAATTGATCAATGTCCCTATGACAGGAGATCTGTGGTTTGTTTGTCCTGTTTTACTATCAGTCACCTCCAAGGTCGTTCCAACCGCACAAAACACAGAAAAGATTTTGACTGTCACTAGAAGAGTCTCTATCATCCACACCCCTTCCTTCTCCAAGGAACAGGCAAAGTAGGAGAGAAGTCCATATCATCTCATTGCCTTCAGATGAGTTACCTAATCAAGGTATTTCTCTCAGAGAGATAGCCTTGTTAGTCTGTAACTTTAAAAACAACCAGTAGTCCTGTGGCACCCTAGAGACTAACAAATACATACTACAGTATCATGAGCTTTCAAGGGCAAACGCCACTTCCCCAGATGAGACGATCTTGAGGTTTTTTTAAATCTGGAGTCATGTAGGTATTTATCATTCAGCTCTCATCTCAGAGGCTGGGCAGGCTCCTGGCGCCGCTCAGACAGGTGGAGGGCAGGGAGGCCAACGCCAGCCAAGCGAAGCAGAGGGCGGGGGGAGGACCCGCTGCGCTTAGGGTAATGAGCGATGGGCCCCA